TAGAGCAACTGCTTTGGGAGACCATGGTCGGGCATCCAGACTCGTGGCCAGTCCAGCGGAGTTGATGGTGGAGGACCATCGCTTTGATACTGGTGGTCTTTGCTTCTTCCAGCACGCTGACATTTGTCCGCTTGTCTTCTTGGAAGACGTCTGTGTGTGAGTTTTTTCAATGTGTGGAGGTCAGTGCACAACTGATCAACACGCAGTCTTCACAGAGTGAGGATCCACAAGCAGCATAGTTTAACACGACGACCGTGGCTTCTCAATCTGTTGCGGCCTTTTTCCGCCTTCACAGCCATTGTCCTCCGCTTGCTCCGTGGTTGAGGTCTTTGGGTCTTCGGACTGCGCTTGGTCTGGAACCTCCCCCGTGGGCACTCCTGGGAGTGCACGACTCCAGTTGTTGTGCCTGCAGGTTCATTGGAACACGCAAGTGTCAGAGTATGTGTGCTGTCGCACGCTGGGCCTGTGCATAAGACTGTAGACAGGACATAAATTCCGTGTGCCCAACGGGATGCCGGGGCTGCCTCAGATTAAAGGCCCTTGGATTTCCTTAAAACGGAGTCTTTAGATTGCTTAAAGGTTCAACAATGTTCTTTATTGATGAAAACAAACAGGTACTTTAAAGCTTTCTTAACGGTCTATTGGCTCTCTTTCAATTTTGTCCACAGGGAACAGGCACTATCTTCATGACTGGTATTTTAACCAATGGGGAAATCCTTAACTTCTAATCTGGGCAGTCTGTCTTTGCTTCTATTGGTCTGGAGCCCCTACACCCGGTACCAACTGCGTCTGGCTTCCGTGAGTGACCCTTACCAAGCAGAGCTTTGTAGACCTCCAGGGGAAAAGGAGTTCAGGTTTCAGTGATGGTTGACTGAAGTCCCTCCACAAAGAAGCTGTAAGGCTGTATCATCCTCGGCCAAGCTGTGGGCTGTATAACCCCGGCCAAGCTGTAGAAGACGAAGCTTTCTACAGGAGCTCTTCGTGTTATGTCCTGCATGAAAGGCTTCTCTGTGTGGACTGACCCAAAAAGGCTCCTATTCCCTCCAAAACCCAAAAAGGGGGCGGGACCAGGGAACATAACTATAATTGACAGGTGGCTTGCCCTATGATTGCAGCCAAAAGAAGCCACCTATCTGCAGAGTCCCTGAAACTTAGGACTGTAACAAACATTAAATGCAAAGCAAACAAAAATTGGAGCTCCTGGTACAGCTGTACCTGCACAGTATGTATGTATTTTGAGCTGTGCTTTGTAGTTTTCAAAGTTAGTGATTATGTGCTTAGAAATGTAATGCTGTGATCTGCAATGTGCGGAGATGTAATTTCCTGTGTGGAAAGAGTTAACTGTATCGTGAAGGAGGAGTCGTAAATTTCAGTGCGGAGAGTGCTACGTCATTATGTGTCATCATGTCTCTAAAGAATGTGGGAGTGAACAGTCTCAACTGTCCGAAGCCTGAAGTGGTTTGCAACGATCGGCCGGAGCAATGTAGCCGTTTTGTTTTCTTAGTTTAAGTGTTTTTAGGTTTTGGTTTAAATAAACTAGGTTTTGATAGACCAGAAGATGTGTCTGTCTCAATGCCTTGTGTGTGTGTTGGGACCATCAACACTCCATCAAGAGAAAGCCCTCTTACCACGACAAGGTGACAGTCCATCGAGGGGAACCCCCTCTCACTATAGCAGGGGTCCTCAAACTAAGGCCTTGGGTCCAGATATGGCCCTCCAAGGTCATTTACCCGGCCCTCACTCAGTCAACCTAGGTCTGGTGGAGTCTCCTCGCTTCTCTGGAGATGAGACTGGATGGACATCTGTCAGGAGGGCTTGTGGGTTCTGTATTAGGCTTGGGCAATCCATGGTTCTAAATCAGTGTTTCTCAACCTGGGGGTTGGGACCCCTGGGGAGGTCGTGAGGGGGTGTCAGAGGGGTCACCAAAGACCATCGGAAAATACAGTATTTTCTGTTAGTCATGGGGATTCTGTGTGGGAAGTTTGGCCCAATTCTATTGTTTGTACGGTTCAGAATAATCATTGATTATAGGTGAACTATAAATCCCAGCAACTACAACTTCCTAATGTCAAGGTCTATTTCCACAAACTCCACATTTGGGTATATTATTTGTGCCAAGTTTGTTCCAGATGCATCATTGTTTGAGTCCACAGTGCTCTCTGGATGTAGGTGAACTACAACTCCAAAACTCAAGGTCAATGCCCACCAAACCTTTCCAGTATTTTCTCTTGGTCATGGGAGTCATGTGTGCCAAGATTGGTTCAATTCCATCATTGTTGGAGTACCAAATGCGCTTTGATTCTAGGTGAACTATAAATCCCAGCAACTACAACTTCCTAATGTCAAGGTCTATTTCCACAAACTCCACATTTGGGTATATTATTTGTGCCAAGTTTGTTCCAGATGCATCATTGTTTGAGTCCACAGTGCTCTCTGGATGTAGGTGAACTACAACTCCAAAACTCAAGGTCAATGCCCACCAAACCTTTCCAGTATTTTCTCTTGGTCATGGGAGTCATGTGTGCCAGGATTGGTTCAATTCCATCATTGTTGGAGTACCGAATGCGCTTTGATTGTAGGTGAACTATAAATCCCAGCAACTACAACTCCCAAATTTGGATGTATCGGGTATTTGTGCCCAATTTGGTCCAGTGAATGATAATCCATCCTGCATATCAGATACTGACATTACGATTCAGAACAGTCGCAAAATCACAGTTATGAAGTAGCAACGAAAGTAATGTTATGGTTGGGGGTCAACACAACCTGAGGAACTCTATTAAGGGGTCGCGGCATTCGGAAGGTTGAGAACCACTGTTCTAAATAGTTCTAAAGTACTTAAAAAACTAAAGTTCTGGTGGTGAAAATTTCAGAACTCTAACAAAACGCTCAAAATTTCATTATAAATGGCAGTTCCTCATTGGTTCTTGTGATGATGTGTATTTTTATTCCTATAGCCATGTATTGTTTAGGATAGTCAACCGGTTAAAGGGTCAAATACGGCCAACAGACTGACAAGTTACTGATAAGTTACTCTTATCTTAAGGGGGAGCTGTCTTCATAGACTTGTCAGCAGCCTATGATACTGTGAAGCACTGCCTCCTCCTGAGAAAAATGTACAATATCACAAAGGACGACCACCTCACCCGCCTCATAGGAAACCTGCTACAAAACAGGAGCTTTTTTGTTGAGTTCCAGGGCCAGAGAAGCAGATGGCGGAAACAGAAGAACGGCCTGCCTCAGGGGAGCGTGCTTGCTCCATCCATGCTCAACATCTACACAAATGACCAGCCACTGCCAGAAGGGACAGAGAGTTTCATCTATGCTGATGATCGTGCCATTACCACTCAAGCAGGGAGCTTTGAGATGGTGGAACAGAAGCTTTCCAAAGCTCTAGGTGCTCTTACTGCCTGTTACAGGGAAAACCAGCTGACCCCAACCCATCCAAAACTCAGACATGTGCCTTTCATCTCAAGAACAGAGAAGCATCCCGAGCTCTGAAGATCACCTGGGAAGGAATCCCACTGGAGCATTGCAGTGTGGAGTGCCTCTGTGGTTGCCACAAGGAGGTCCTCCATTGTGCCTGTGGCAGGGCTCAGGGTGCATTGCAGCAGGTGGTCAGTGGTTTGTTCTTCTCCGCACTCGCATATCGTGGATTCCACTTTGTGGCCCCATTTCTTGAGGTTGGCTCTGCATCTTGTGGTGCCAAAGCGCAGTCTGTTTAGCGCCTTCCAAGTCGCCCCGTCTTCTGTGTGCCCAGGGGGAGTCTCTCATTTGGTATCAGCCATTGGTTGAGGTTCTGGGTTTGAGCCTGCCACTTTTGGACTCTCGCTTGCTGAGGTGTCCCCCTGGGCACACAGAAGACTGGGCAATTATTTACGACATCAACAGAATATTCCTATAAAAGACTGAATCTAATAATTCTCAAGTGTGGCAGACAGCAAGCTGTTCGCCCGCTATGCTTTGTGGAGATGGTGTATGGAGAGTGTCGGATCTGCAACAGGAAAGCAGGATTCTGTACACTTTGGGCTCCTTTCCTCAAGGAAAGAGGAAGGAGTCTGTTCTGTCGCGCGCTGTGCCTATAAAGAATTTCCCTTAGAACAGGACGTGCCGCCTTTGCCCAGTGGGAAGCCAGGGGGCCCAAGGAGAAGTTCTCAGAGGTTTTCCACCACAAATTATCTTTAGATGGCTTGTGAAGTATAACATAGTCTTTTATTAATGAGCAATCAAACAGAAACTTCTCTTGACTTCAATAAAGCTAAACAAATGCTTCCAGGCTTTTATGCAACTGGTGGCTTCCTAATCTTGCCCATGAAGGACAGGCAACTGTCTTCAATAACTTCTTCTTTACTTTAAAGGAAAATCCCCTTTTTGACTTCTCCCAGGCTGACTGTAATCTAACCCTTACTGATGTGGGCTCCGCTACCGGGTCAAACTGCGTCTCGAAGCACCGAGTGGACTTACCAGTAAAGGTTTAGATGTTCTCCAGCTGGATTTCTTTGGTCTTTAGGGCTGTTTTCCTGGAAATCTTTGGAGACTCTTAAGACTGTTTCCCCCCGGAAAGTCTTGATGCTCTTAAGACTGTTTCGCCCCGGAAAGTCTTAAGGGTTGAAGCTTTTGTACAGGGAAGCTTGCACACGTCCTGTACATTAGCTTTCCTTGCTGAGACTGACTAAAAAATGGCTCCCTTTCCTTCCCAATTGCCCTGAGCAAGGGGCGGAACCAAAACTTAACGATGATGGACAGGTGACTTGCCCTACGACTGCAACCAGAGGAAGCCACCTTCCTGCAGAATCCCTGACTGCAGGCAAATATTTAATTGTTGTTGTTCATTCGTTCAGTCGTCTCCGACTCTTCGTGACCTCATGGACCATCCCACGCCAGAGCTCCCTGTCGGCCGTCACCACCCCCAGCTCCTTCAATATTTAATACAAAGCAAATAAAGTGGGAGCTCCTGGTACAGCCGTACCAGCACAGAGTCTGATTCATTCCAGGAAACAAAGTTCTCAAAGCAAATAAACTTTATTTAAGATAGCAGAGTTGTTAATCACACAGTGGACACTGTTAGGGATGAGAAATAGGTCACGGCAGAAAACATCGACACGCAAAGCAAATCAATGCATGCAGTTTAAATATGTACAACTATTACAACCAAGCACGTAACAACAACAACTATTATTATTATTATTATTATTATTATTATTATTATTATTTCTTACCCGCCTCTCAATATAGCTCAAGGTGGGTCACAGCAAACTCAAAAACACACAAATACTATAAAATGCAGTTCCATAAAAGATATGTATCAGAGCATTTCTGTAAAATACACATTAATCAAACAGGAGAAAGACCAAAACACAGAACACATAAGCAATAGGATTCATGCGCCTGACACTTGTTGCACAAAGAGCGTTTCCTATGGAGGCTATCCGAAGCTATTTTGCTGCCTGAGGCCAAGGAGAAGATGGGGACTCTCTTCCATCCTACACCATTCTCTGCATGGACACTAACTGGCCTGGCCTCCAGATCTTGCTTCAAATACTCCTCTTGTATCAACAAAGGATTGTCCTTGGCTTAGCCACACAGACAAGGCATTGCAACCGGTGAGGGAAGCAGGGAGTGGGACTTGAGAGTCAACATCAACTACAATGGGGCATGGGTGGCATTGGGAAGGTCAAAGAGATGGAAGGAACATGACAACCCATCTAGTCCAACTTTGCTAGCAGGGTAAGGATCCATGGTGGTGGTCCCTCTAAAAGGCCACCATCTTCCAAGGAAGTCCTTTCCGTGGTTGACAAAGAGGTCTTCTACAGAAAAAAGCAAGCAATGATGGATCCTCCACTAGTATCATAGGTAGGATTGAGATCTCTGCTCCAGATGAAGACTTCTCCAATTTCTCTGGAAGTGGTAGGACTAATCCACAACTCCGGCTCATTCTTGAGATTTTTGAATTCTTCCAAATCTTGACTGAAATCTTTCTTCATGCGGAAGCCCAACCATTTCATGGATCCGGTTGGCTTGCAGTGTTTCAGACTCTTCCTGGAACAACGTTGCTAGATTCAGGAGGCGGCTCTTCAGCTGAGCCTGTTCCTTGCCATGGCCGCCTGAAATCTGGAAGCCCTTTGTGTACATCTCCAGGGCCCCCTCTTTGTTTCTTTTCTTGTGGAGCAGGAAGTCCCCCCAGTGCAAGTAGATGGCCTGCTGGCATCGTTGGCTGTGGTTGGGGAGATCCTCCATCAGGTTCTGGTAAATCTCTTCCTCATCAGCCAAGGACTTTTCTCCATACAATTTGGCCAACTCCAGCTGGGAGAACACAGAAAAAGGATCCTTTTCCAAAGCCTGCTTGAAGTTCTCAATGGCTGCTGCTACAAGCTCTTCTTTTTCTTCCCGTGATGCCTTCTTCATCTGATTCTTGTAGCAGACACCAAGGTCATAGTAAAGCAGGTGGAAGTTAGGACTCAGGGCTATGGCTTTCTTCAGAACTGCAATTGCCTGGGATAGGGATAGAGGCAAATGCACACATATTTTGGCAGCATTTCTCAGGACCTCTGGGTTGAGGCTGTTCTGGGCCACATCCTCCACCAAGCTCTCTGCTCTCGCTCTGTCTTTTCTCTTGATTACGTTGGCCAAATACACTTTGGCTTCAGCATTTTGAGGCTGGTGATCAAGAACCTCTTCCAACAATCTTTGTGCTTCTTTGTTGAGTTCTGCATTCATAGTGTGGCACCACAAGGCATAGGCAGAGTATGCCAGACCTGCCTGGTATTCCCCATTGGACCCATCTCCTCTCAGGGCCAACTGGAAACACTCCTGGGCCTCCAGTCCATTCCGGAAGCCCCAAGCCAGCAGGGACCACCCTTTCTGGGCATGGATTTCAGGGATTGCAACAGAGTAGGGCTCGGGGCTGGAGAGAGCTTGGCAAGTCTCATGGATCTTCTCCAGGTAGAGCTCCACCTTCTCGTAGTTGGTCAAGTGGTAATAAATCCAGGCAAAGTTGCCATAGGTCACTAGGGCCTGGCGGGAGAAGTTGGTGGGGTGGTCCTCCCGGAGAGCCTCCTCCGCTTCTTGAAGGCTCTCCAATGCTTCACTGTTGTCCGCTTGGAGGTGGTGCAGGTAGGCCTTCAGGGCTAGGTAGGCACCCCGATTAGGGAATGAGGTGTGTTCCAGCCGGAGACGTAACGTCTGAAGGTTGTGTTCCGCATCCACCTTGTCCCTGACCTCAAAGGTCCAGGTGAAATGGCACTGCAGGCTCTGGAGCTTCTCCTTCAATGGTCTGCAAAAGGAGGAGAGGAGCAGGTCAGCCGCTTATCAGTCCCAGTTGGGGAGAAGAGCAAGAGACACGAATAGAGCATCTGGAGGGGCTCTGCGCTTCCTTTCTCCCCCTTTCCCCTTCTCTAGTCCAGACTGACTACTACTGCTATTACAAAGACTGGATGGCCGTCTCTTGGATGTGCTTTGATTGTGCTTTTACTGCCTGGCAAAAGAGGATTGGACTGGATTGCCCCTGGGGTTGCTCCTAGTTTTACTATTACTACTACTACTACTTCTACTACTACTACGACGACTACTACAAAGGCTGGATGGCTTTCTGTTGGTGGTGCTTTGGCTGTGTCTTCCCTGCATGGCAGAAGGGGGTTGGACTGGATGGCCCCTGGGGTTGCTGCAGGTATTGCTGCTACTACTACTACTACTACTACTACTACTACAAAGGCTGGATAGCGGGCTGTTGGGAGTGCTTTGATTGTGCTTTTACTGCCTGGAAAAAGACGGTTGGACTGGATGGCCCCTGGGGTTTCTGCAAGTAATGCTATTACTATTACTATTACTACTACTACTACTACTACTACTACTACAAAGGCTGGGTGGCTGGGCCACAGAAACACCTGGCAGGGGATGGCTAGTATAATATAAATATTTCGTGGGGCTCCACGAGAGACTTTTTGCTTCTTGCAGAGCATCCTGACTCCTCCTCCTCCTCCTCCTCTACTCCAGCCTGACTGTTGCACATGTGCGCACGCCCAGACCCTGCCTGCCTGTCTGCTTGCCTTTGCGTAAAGGATTGTTTCTTCCTTGGCCAACGCCCAGGCCTAGCACCGCCTTCTTCCCCTCTCCCTCTGTTATTTTCCTCATCTGGTGTGTGTGTGTGTGTGTGTGTGTGTGTCAAGAAACGTCCAGCAGTGTGCCTTCTAGATCTATGCAGAGAGGGCATTAACCAGGAAGATACGTCAAAGGAATACACCGAGGAGACAGCTTTGTTGCAGCAAGAATGGTTCTAGCAAAATCCTGGAAGGGAGAAAGAGAGACTGGAGATTGCAAACAAGGGGCCAAGCTGTCAAACAGACTTCGAGGTAAAAAGAATGAAGGATTGTTGAAGGTCTTTCCGGGCTATATGGCCATGGTCTAGAGGCATTCTCTCCTGACGTTCCGCCTGCATCTGTTTGAGGTCTGTTTGAACTAGGAAAGTGGGTTTATATATGAAAATGAACAAGATCTGGCTACCAGTATTAAAAAATTCTAAAATTGCAACAGCAAAACAGCAGAGAGGAAACAGGCAGGGACATCTAATTACCTTTCAAGAAGGGTTTGCTCCAGGCACAGTCAGCCCATTGTATGCTAATCAAGGTGGTCAGTTGAAAGATTCACACCTAGCCCAATTGACAAAAGTCCCTTGTCCCACCCTGGTCATCCCACAGATATATAAACCCATTGTCCTAGTTCCAACAGACCTCACTACCTCTGAGGATGCTTGCCATAGATCCAGGCGAAACGTCAGGAGAAATGCCTCTAGAACATGGCCATATAGCCCGAAAAAACCCACAAGAACTTAGTGATCCCAGCCATGAAAGCCTTCGACAATACATTGGGTTTATATATCTGTGGAATGACCAGGGTGGGACAAAGGACTCTTGTCTGTTGGAGGAAGGTGGGAATGTTGCAACTGACCACCTTGATGAGCATTTGATGGCCTGGCAGTGCCTGGAGCAAACTTTTGTTGAGAGGTGATTAGATGTCCTTGTTTGTTTCCTCTCTGTTGTTGTGCTGTTGCAATTTTAGAGTTTTTTTTAAATACTGGTAGCCAAATTTTGTTCCTTTTCATGGTTTCCTCCTTCCTGTTGAAATTGTCCACATGCTTGTGGATCTCAATGGCTTCTCTGTGTAGCCTGACATGGTGGTTGTGAGAGTGGTCCAGCATTTCTGTGTTCTTGAATAATCTGCTGTGTCCAGGTTGGTTCCTCAGGTGCTCTGCTATGGCTGACTTCTCTGGTTGAAGGAGTCTGCAGTGCCTTTCATGTTCCTTGATGCGTGCTTGGGCAATGCTGCGTTTGGTGGTCCCTATGTAGACTTGTCCACAGCTGCATGGTACAAACCATCTCCAGACCCACCAAGAAAATCCAACAAATGCTCCGTTCAGCAAAGGACAAGAGGGATCCTCTCACCTCTGCAGGAGTCTTCCGTGTACCATGCAGCTGTAGACAAGTCTACACAGGGACCACCAAATGCAGAAATTCTCAGACACGAATCAAGGAACATGGAAGGCACTGCAGACTACGTCAACCAAAGAAGTCAGCCATAGCAGAGCACCTGATGGACCACCCTGGGCACAGCATATTATTTGAGAACACGGAAATGCTGGAGATGCGTTTGGACAGGTCCTTTGTCCCACCCTGGTCATTCCACAGATATATAAACCCGTTCTCCTAGTTCCAACAGACCTCACTACCTCTGAGGATGCTTGCCATAGATGCAGGCGAAACGTCAGGAGAAAATGCCCCTAGAACATGGCCATATAACCTGGAAAAACCTACAACAACCCAGTTGAAACATTCACACCCAGCTCCAGCAGACAAGAGTCCTTTGTCCCACCCTGGTCATTCCACAGATATATAAACCCTTTTTCCTAGTTCCAACAGACCTCACTACCTCTGAGGATGCTTGCCATAGATGCAGGCGAAACGTCAGGAGAGAATGCCTCTAGACCATGGCCATATAGCCCGGAAAAACCGACAACAATACAATAATTAAGGAGTTTGTAAACAAATGGTGGCTGGCCTTCGCATATAGAATCCTAGAGTTGGAAGAGACCTCCTGGGCCATCCAGTCCAACCCCATTCTGCCAAGAAGCAGGAATATTGCATTCAATAATCTTGGAAAGAAGGCAAAAGCTGACTTTAAGGATGCTTTTTTGTGTGTGTCAGGGACAACTTGAGAAACTGCAAGTCACTTCTGCTGTGAGAGAATTGGCTGTCTCCTGCAGAAGAAACGTCAGGAGAGAATGCTTCTAGAATATGGCCATATAGCCTGAAAAACCTGCAACAACCCGGTGATTCCGGCCATGAAAGCCTTCCAACAATACTTCCTCATTCTTATGCATGCTGCTGGAAGTAGTAGAAGTAGTAGAAGTAGTAGTAAAACTAGGAGCAACCCCAGGGGCCATTCCCCTTGAGAAACCGCAAGTCGTTTCTGGTGTGAGAGAATTGGCCGTCTGCAAGGACGTTGCTCAGGGAATGTTGCCTGGATGTTTGATGTCTACCATCCTTATGGGAAGCTTCTCTCATATCCCCACATGGGAGCTGGAGCTGACAGATGGAAGCTCAACCTGCTCTCCTTGTGCCAACTATTGGGAGCTCCGTTTAAGGATGCTGCAAGGGGAACTATTCAAGGAACTTATATGGGTCAGGAGGCCCCAGTGGCGCAGTGGGTTAAAGTGCTGAGCTGCGGAGCTTGTTGACCAAAAGGTCACAGGTTCGATTCTGGGGAGCAGTGTGAGCTTCCACTGTCAGTTCTAGCTTCTGCCAACCTAGCCATTCGAAAAAATGCAAATGTGAGTCGATCAATAGCTACAGCTCCGGCGGGAAGGTAACGGCGCTCCATGCAGTCATGCCAATGGCCACATCCGGGCATCCCCTGGGCAACGTCCTTGCAGACGGCCAATTCTCTCACACCAGAAGCGACTTGCAGTTTCTCAAGTCGCTCCTGACATAACCAAAAATGACCTTGGAGGTGTCCATGGACAACGCTGGTTCTTTAGCTTAGAAATGGAGATGAGCACCACACCCCAGAGTCAGACATGACTGGACTTCATGTCAGGGGACAACCTTTACCTTTACCTATATGGGTATCAGAGAGCGTGGTTACCCAGTTTGCAGATGACACTAAATTAGGAAAGAGAACTAATACTCCAGAGGACAGGGTCAGGATCCAAAATGCCCTCAACAGATTATTAGAGAGATTGATTTATTTCAGTATCAAAAGCATTGCATAAATTAGTATAAAACCAATACAAATAGAAGGAGCGCAGGTGGCTAAATATGTTTTGACCAAAAACGGGCAACACCTGGAATCACATTGTGTCCAATTCTGGGCACCACAATTCAAGAGAGATATTGACAAGCTGGAATGTGTCCAGAGGAGGGCGACTAAAATGATCAAGGGTCTGGAGAACAAGCCCTATGAGGAGCGGCTTAAGGAGCTGGGCATGTTTAGCCTGAAGAAGAGAAGGCTGAGAGGAGATATGATAGCCATGTATAAATATGTGAGAGGAAGCCACAGGGAGGAGGAGGGAGCAAGCTTGTTTTCTGCTTCCCTGGAGACTAGGACGCAATGGAACAATGGCTTCAAACTACAAGGGAGGAGATTCCATCTGAACATGAGGAAGAACTTCCTGACTGTGAGAGCCGTTCAGCAGTGGAACTCTCTGCCCCGGAGTGTGGTGGAGGCTCCTTCTTTGGAAGCTTTTAAGCAGAGGCTGGATGGCCATCTGCCAGGGGTGATTTGAATGCAATATTCCTGCTTCTTGGCAGAATGGGGTTGGACTGGATGGCCCAGGAGGTCTCTTCCAACTCTAGGATTCTATGTAGCCTCCAACAATTCTTCCTCTGTACATGAGGCAGGGCATAGTGGACAAGCATACAGTGCGGAGTTGTCTGTTCTGCTCCACAGTCACACAAGGTGCGGGATTCTTTCAGGTCGTGCCATTTGGCCAGGTTGTCTTTTGATCTGCCCACTCCGCTTCTGAGTCTGTTCAGGGATTTCCAAGTTGCCCATTCTTGGTGTTGTAGGTTTTTTTCGGGCTATATGGCCATGTTCTAGAGGCATTCTCTCCTGATGTTTCGCCTGCATCTATGGCAAGCATCCTCAGAGGTAGTGAAGTTGCTTGCCATAGACGCAGGCGAAATGTCAGGAGAGAATGCCTCTAGACCATGGCCATATAGCCCGAAAAAACATACAACAACCCAGTGATTCCGGCCATGAAAGCCTTCGACAATACATTATTATTACTTGGTTCCCCTGGGCCCCCCCCCCCATTAGAGAGATGATTGCCCCCAACTCACAAAACAAGTTTCAAGAAGAACAATGGGAAGATATGACACTGAAGGCAGAAAAAAATGAAATGCAAAGATACAGGAGAGGTGAAGTTGTAGTTTTGTGAGGTCTTTAGTGCTCTCCCCCTGTCAAAGAGTGCTGATGCCTCACCAAACTACAAATCCCATTATTCCCTAGGCTATGGCAGTTCTAGTGCTGCCAGGCTGCATTCATCCTACAGTGCGACTGCATCCCGTGTTGCCTTGAGCCTGCACAGTCCAGGTCAGAGTGAGCTCCCAACCATTAATAGCCTAGCTTGCTGTGGACCTATACAGTCCGAAAGGTAGTTGCATCTGTCAAGTAGGAAACTTAGGTACCACTTTATGTGGGGAGGCTAATTTAACTAATTTAAGACACCATAAAGCCTTCCAGCAGCGTGCATAAGAATGAGGAAGTATTGTTGAAGGCTTTCATGGCTGGAATCACTGGGTTGTTGTAGGTTTTTTGGGGCTATAGGGCCATATTCTAGAAGCATTCTCTCCTGATATTTCGCCTGCATCTATGGCAAGCATCCTCAGAGGTAGTGAGGTCTGTTGGAACTAGGAAAAAGGGATTATTATTGTTATTGTTATTATTATTGATATTATTTAGTCCTCTCCCTCTGTCAAAGAGTGCTGATGCCTCACCAAACTACAAATCCCATTATCCCCTAGGCTATGGCAGTTCTAGTGCTGCCAGGCTGCATTCATCCCACAGTACGACTGTATCCCTTGTTGCCTTGAGCCTGCACAGTCCAAGTCAGAGTGAGCTCCCAACCATTAATAGCCCAGCTTGCTGTGGACCTATACAGTCCGAAAGGCAGTTGCATTTGTCAAGTAGGAAATTTAGTTACCACTTTATGTGGGGAGGCTAATTTAACTAATTTAAGACACCATAAAGCCTTCCAGCAGCGTGCATAAGAATGAGGAAGTATTGTTGAAGGCTTTTTCGGGCTATATGGTCATATTCTAGAAGCATTCTCTCCTGATGTTTCGCCTGCATCTATGGCAAGCATCCTCAGAGGTAGTGAGGACTGTTAAGCGTGCATAAGAATGAGGAAGTATTGTTGAAGGCTTTCCTGGCCGGAATCACTGGGTTGTTGTAGGTTTTTCGGGCTATATGGCCATGTTCTAGAAGCATTCTCTCCTGACATTTCACCTGCATCTATGGCAAGCATCCTCAGAGGTAGTGAGGTCTGTTGGAACTAGGAAAAAGGGATTATTATTGTTATTGTTATTATTATTAATATTATTTAGTCCTCTCCCTCTGTCAAAGAGTGCTGATGCCTCACCAAACTACAAATCCCATTATCCCATAGGCTATGGCAGTTCTAGTGCTGCCAGGCTGCATTCCTCCCACAGTGCGACTGCATCCCGTGTTGCCTTGAGCCTGCCCATCCCTGGTCCCTTGATGCTCTCCTCTTCCTCGCCTCCAGTCGAAGTCGAAGGCATGGTCGGCATGTCTACTCACCCCATTCTCCTCCCTCTCTGGGTCCAACCCTTGCAGCTCTTGGGCAGACTTCCTCGGATTGGGCTTCCTCTACACTTTGTTGGGGCTTATATAGCTTTGCTTTGTTTGGGTCTGACATCACGTGAGCTCGTTTTTTGGAAATGGAAACCGAAACTTAGGGCTAGGAGGCCAAGAAGAGAAAGCTGGCCCCAGTTGGGTCTTATATAATCTCCTAGGCTGGAAATGGAAAGTCAGACCCCAAGAGAGGAAACCTAGGCAAGAAGAAAAGGGAGCTCAGCTCACTGGCTGGAAATGGAAAGTCAAAATGAGACCCCCAAGAAAAGAAACCTAGCACCAGTGGAGTCTCTCTGGTCCATCCTGTTGTGTTGTCAGAAGTGCCAGATGCATTGAATTTACAGTCAGGGAGGGATTCGTCCTGGGCTCCTTCGCACAATGAGATTTTGGCACACAACCTGGAAGTCTGTTTTGAATAATCTGAAATGAATCTTGTCCTGCACTTGCGGCTGAAGCGCCCCATAGAATTGTGCTGGAGGGCCTGGGTTCCCCCCTATCATGGTTTCTATATCCAAATTTTGGTGCAATTGGGTTGTTGTAGGTTTCTTCGGGCTATAGGTCCATGTTCTCGTGGCATTCTCTCCTGACGTTTCGCCTGCATCTATGGCAAGCATCCTCAGAGGTTGCGAGGTCTGTTGGAACTAGGAAGATGGGTTTATATATTTGTGGAATGACCAGGGTGGGACAAAGAACTCTTGCCTGTTGGAGCTAGGTGTGAATGTTTCAACTGACCACCTTGATTAGAGAGGAGATTCCATCAGAACATGAGGAAGAACTTCCTGACTGTGAGAGCCGTTCAGCAGTGGAACTCTCTGCCCCGGAGTGTGGTGGAGGCTCCTTCTTTGGAAGCTTTTAAACAGAGGCTGGATGGCCATCTGTCAGGGGTGATTTGAATGCAATATTCCTGCTTCTTGGAAGAATGGGGTTGGACTGGATGGCCCAGGAGGTCTCTTCCAACTCTTGGATTCTAGGATTCTATTCTATGATTCTATGATTACCATACAATGGGCTGACTGTGCCTGGAGCAAACTTTTGTTGAGAGGTAATTAGATCAGAAGATTCTTTGAACTCACACTGATGCTTTGAACCGGCAAAGGAACCCACACTGATGCTTTGAAATTGCACCAAATATATTGTCGAAGGCTTTCATGGCCGGAATCACTGGGTTGTTGTAGGTTTTTTTGGGCTATATGGCCATGTTCTCGTGGCATTCTCTCCTGACGTTTCACCTGCATCTATGGCAAGCATCCTCAGAGGTTGTGAGGCCTGTTGGAACTAGGAAGATGGGTTTATATATTTGTGGAATGACCAGGGTGGGACAAAGAACTCTTGCCTGTTGGAGCTAGGTGTGAATGTTTCAACTGACCACCTTGATTAGCATTTGATGTCCTGGCAGTGCCTGGGGCAATCTTTTGTTGAGAGGTAATTTGATGTCCCTGATTGTTTCCCTTCTGTTGTTTTGTGCTTGTAATTTTAGAGTTTTTTAATACTGGTAGCCAGGTTTTTTTTTTTTCATTTTCATGGTTTCCTCCTTTCTGTTGAAATTGTCCACATGCCTATGGAAGTCAATGGCTTCTCTGTGTAGCCTGACATGGTGGTTGTTGGTGTGGTCCAGCATTTCTGTGTTCTCAAATAACATGCTGTGTCCAGGCTGGTCCATCAGGTGTTCTGCTATGGCTGACTTCTCTGGTTGGAGTAGTCTGCAGTGCCTTTCATGTTCCTTGATTCGTGTTTGGGCAATGCTTCTGCGTTTGGTGGTCCCTCTGTAGACTTGTCCACAGCTGCATGGTACACGGAAGACTCCGGCAGAGGTGAGAGGATCCCTCTTGTCCTTTGCTGAATGGAGCATTGGTTGGATTTTCTTGGTGGGTCTGGAGATAGTTTGTATGTTGTGTTTCCTCATCAGCTTCCCTCTGCAGTCAGTGGTTCCCTTGATGTCTGGCAAGAACACTTTCCCTCTGGGTGGATCTTTGTCCGCATATGGAAGCTGACTACCTCTGAGGATGCTTGCCATAGATGCAGGCGAAATGTCAGGAGAGACTGCCTCTAGAACAGTAGTTCTCAACCTGGGGGTCGGGACCCCTGGGGGGGTCACGAGGGGGTTTCAGAGGGGTCGCCAAAGGCCATCCAAAAACATAGTATTTTCTGTTGGTCATAGGGGTTCCATGTGGGAAGTTTGGCCCAATTCTATCATTGGAGGGGATCAGAATGATCTTTTATTGTAGGTGAACTATAAATCCCAGCAACTAAAACTCTCAAATGCCAAGGTCTATTTTCCCCAAACTCCACCAGTGTTCATTCACATTGGGCATGTTGAGTGTTCATGGCAAGTTTGGTCCAGATTGATCATTGTGTGAGTCCATAGTGCTCTCTGGATGTAGGTGAACTACAACTCCAAACCTCAAGGTCAATGCCCACCAAACCCTTCCAGTATTTTCTGTTGGTCAAGGGAGTTCTGTGTGGCAAGATTGGTTCAATTCCATGCTCTTTGATCGTAGGTAAACTATAAATCCCATCAACTACAACTCCCAAATGACAACATCAATGCTCTTTGATCGTAGGTAAACTATAAATCCCACCAACTACAACTCCCAAATGACATCAATCCCCTGCCAAGCCCACCAGTATTCACGTATTTGTGCCAAATTTGGTCCCCTCCCTGCCCTTTCCTCCCCTTCCTCTTCTTCTTCTTTGGAGTGAAGCAAAGACGAGGCATGTTTGGATCCCCAAAGGGTTGGCCTCGGTCAGGATGAGATGGTGGACGGGAGAGAAAAAGTGCACAGTGTTCCCTCGCTACTTCGCGGCTCGCTTATTGCGGACTCGCTGTTTCGCGGTTTTCAATCAATATTAATTTAAAATAATAAACTTAAAAAATTAAACACCAGAAAATTGATTTAATTAAGTCTATAGCTGTGCCACAGCTCGTTAGTAGCCAGCTGCATTAAATCACTACAGACCAAGAGATCATGAGTTCAAAGCCAGCCGGGTCACAGTGAGCTCCCAACCATTAATAGCCTAGCTTGCTGTGGACCTATACAGTCCGAAAGGCAGTTGCATCTGTCAAGTAGGAAATTTAGGTACCACTTTATGTGCAGAGGCTAATTTAACTAATTTAAGACACCATAAAGCCTTCCAGCAGCGTGCATAAGAATGAGGAAGTATTGTTGAAAGCTTTCATGGCCGGAATCACTGGGTTGTTGTAGGTTTTTTGAGCCATATGGCCATATTCTAGAAGCATTCTCTCCTGACATTTCACCTGCATCTATGGCAGGCATCCTCAGAGGTTGTAAGGACCTAACAAGCTCTGAGGATACCTGCCATAGATACAGGCGAAACGTCGGGAGGGAATGCTTCTAGACCATGGCCATATAGACCAAAAGACCTACAATCCAATGAGGAAGTATAGTGTTCCCTCGGTACTTCGCAGTTTGCTTATTGCAGACTCGCTGTTTTGCGGTTTTCAATACATATTAATTTAAAATAATAAAATAAAATAATTTAAAGACCAGAAAATTGATTTAATTAAGTCTATAGCTGTGGCCCAGCTTGTTAGTAGCCAGCTGCATTAAATCACGACTGACCAAGAGGCCATGAGTTCAAAGCCAGCCCAGGTCGGACTGAGCTCCCAACCATTAATAGCCTAGCTTGCTGTGGACCTATAGAGTCCGAAAGGCAGCTGCATCTGTCAAGTAGGAAATTTAGGTACCACTTTATGTGTGGAGGCTAATTTAACTAATTTAAGACACCATAAAGCCTTCCAGCAGCGTGCATAAGAATGAGGAAGTATTGTTGAAGGCTTTCATGACCAGAATCACTGGGTTGTTGTAGGTTTTTTGGGCTATATGTGAGGACCTAACAAGCTCTGAGGATGACTGCAGTAGATACAGGCGAAACGTCAGGAGAGAATGCTTCTAGAACATGGCCATATAGACCAAAAAACCTACAACCCAATGAGGAAGTATAGTGTTCCCTCGCTACTTCGCAGTTCGCTTATTGCAGACTCGCTGTTTTGCGGTTTTCAATAAATATTAATTTAAAATAATAAACTAAAAAAATTAAACACCAGAAAATTGATATAATTAAGTCTATAGCTGTGCCGCAGCTCGTTAGTAGCCAGCTGCATTAAATCACGACTGACCAAGAAGTTATGAGTTCAAAGCCAGCCCAGGTCGGAGCGAGCTCCCAACCATTAATAGCCTAGCTTGCTGTGGATCTATACAACTCCACTGGCTGCCAATTAGCTTCTGAGCACAATTCAAAGTGCTGGTTTTAACCTATAAATCCCTATACGGTTCCGGCCCAGTTTACCTGTCCGAACGTATTCTCCCCTATGAACCATCAAGGACGTTAAGATCTTCCGGAGAGGCCCTGCTCTTGGTCCCACCACCTTCACAAGTGCGTTTGGTAGGAACGAGAGACAGGGCCTTCTCTGTGGTGGCCCCTCGGCTATGGAACTCTCTCCCGAGCGAGATTAGATCTGCCCCCTCCCTCTTGTCCTTCAGGCGGCTAGTGAAATCCTGTTTATGGAACGAAGCATTCCCAGAATAATGGCTGAGACTGGTTACAGACCAAAGAAAGTGACCACATATGCAGACTGAGCTGACATGATTTTACGTTGGTGATTTGGTATATGTATTTTAATCTTGTATTATTGTATGATGTTTTAACTTGTATTCATAGCATTGAATCCTTGCTGTAAGCCGGTCTGAGTCCCTCTACGGAGGTGAGAAGATTGGGAGTTTTAAATAAAATAAGTAAATAAGTAAGTAAATTAATAATAATAATAATAAATGTCCTTTGACTAGTAGCTGGCCACTTGTTTGTGTTTTAGATGGATTAGGAATCAGCTGGTTTTGCCTGTATTTATTTATTTATTTGATGTACTTATTGACCGCCATTCTCAGCCCTTACGGGCGACTCATGGCGGTGTACAGTACACATAAAAAGACAGTTACAAAAGATCGGTAAACAACAACATAACTATAGAACAATACACACTACATAAAAATCTGCTTCGTCTCTTAGTAGAA